ATGTGGGATCCGAACCGGGGCCCTCTGGTGTCCCAAGCCAGCTCTTAACCAACACGCCACTCGGCCAGCCCAATACTTATTTTCTTGATGGTGAGAATGGCTCCACGGGTGTACATATCTTTCAAAAATAATCAAACTGTGCAGTTTGACTATGTGCCATTTATTTTTTGTTAATTCTAACTCAATTGGTTTAAAAAAGGTAACTTGTTCCAACTTCTTTGCTCAAAGAGGCACAGAGTGGCTGGGGACTTGTCCTGGGCCACGGGGGCAGCTGAGAGGAGTCCCGGCCACCTCAGGGCAGCTGAGGCTGCTGCCCGGCCCCATTCGGCCAGCGGGCTCGTGGAGGGTCTGCCCCCTAGCCAGATGGGGGACAGCGGTGAGGAATTAGAGGAGAGGAGGAGGGTGGACACTCAAAAGGAGACCATGCAGTGGGGGGCAGGCAGGGAGCCCACTGGGAAAGGGAAAGGGACGAAGATGAAGCCACAGCCCCGGGAGGAGGCGTAAGAAACGGAGGGGCCGGCCCTCCCTGGACCTGGCCATGAGGAGGAGGCCTCCAAGGCAGTCCTAGCCACAGCCCCTGCTTTGCCTGCCCCCATTACAACAACACAGAGGCGCACCCCGCCTGTGGGGTTCCAGTTCCCCAGGATGCATTCTTCGGATTTTAATACAGATTCGCTTCAGCCAGACCCCGCATAGCCAGCGCATGGGCATTTAACACCAAAAATAAGAGGAGATGGTGGAGCAGGGGGGTGCAGGTCACACGAGAGTCACCTGGTAAGTGCCAGCTACCCCAAAATGCAACCAGACCGAGGATTTCATGGGACAGCAAAGCGTGCCAGCGCCCCAGGTAGCGTGATGCTCAGGAGACGTTCCCAGGCCCTTTCGCCTTGACAGTCCACACTGGCCTGAGGTGCAATCATCTCCTGGAAATTTCACCTGCGTCCTCTCCCCAAGCCCCTATTTCCTGGCACTTGTGCCAGCTGTCGGAGACGCAGGTCCTTGGGGGAATTGGAAACGGACCAGTGAGGATTCCATTCCGAGAGGCATGAAAAGAACTTCCTTTTCCCTCTAACTTCCAAACTAGGTCGGAAAAGCCGAAGAGAAGCCAGGCCTGAGCAGGGCGAGGAGTGGGCAGTCTTAACCCGAGTTAGAAACAGGCCACACGGGGAGGCCCCTCACCTGTCTCCCATCGTGCGGGCCCGTGTCAGACACCCCACTTCTCTGCACCTCGGCCACGTGACCTCGGGTGACCTCGGGTCGTTGGCCGAGCCCCGTGGCACCGCAGTGTTCTCGGCACAGAATGGGGTCGGCAATGATAACACCTACTGTCTAGAGGGCGCTGCGAGGACCAGGGCGCCGAATGAGCTGGGTGTGCTGGATGTCCGCTCGTTGTTCGGAGACAGGAGCCATTTAGAGAGAGTCCACGGCTCAAAGCGGACGCCGGATTGCTCCAAGGCCGGCCTTCCCTTCGCTGCCCGCTGCGCAGGTCACCGGCTCCTCGCTGAAGCCTGGCTGACACAGTGACCTTGCGGGGACGCGACGCCTTCCTCCTCTGGGTCTCAGGTTCCCGTCTCACCACCACGAACCCCTTTTGTTCATTTTACTTGAACAGCAGTCAGTCCTCTGAACCCCCATGTCTGTTTCCCCTCCACCCCCACCCTTCTCTGACTTCCTAGCATTGTCAGCTGCTGTTCAACACCAGAATTATTATTTTGCCCCATATTTATGGCAAGTTTCTTTTAAGATGCTCTGTGCCTTGGTTTTCTAAACTGGATGTCACGTTCTATTTAGGAACAGTTGTGTGACACAGGAGAAAGAGCAACGGAGCCAGAAAGCTTGGGGACCAGGCCTAGCTCTGCCCGTTACCGGCTACGAGACCTTGCCCCTGGAGCCTCATCAGTAAAATGACAATAGGACCTTGGTGGGGCGGGGAGAGTCACCTGGCACTCTGAGCTGTCAGCCCCAAGGCAGAGTGACATGTTACTGGGATCAGGTGCCAGCAGAATGGGGGTCAAGGTCAGCTCTGTGCTGGCTGTGCCATCTATAGTGACCTGAGCGGGAGCTGGCCTTCCATCCGTGGCCGTCGCGGAGCTGCCAGGGCCTGCGAGAGGCCCGGGCTGAGGGTCGCTGCTGCCCAGCCTCCCACTGAGGCCCAGGGCCCCCCGAGGCCGGCCTGCAATGTCCGGCTCTCTCACTAGCCAGCATCTGACAGGATCTAAGCGGTGGCTTCTTGCCAGGGGCGGAGTCCTAACAGCGTCGCATCCATACCCAGCAACGAACACCCTAGAGGCAGGAAGTATTACCCCCTTTGAAAACTGCATGGGAGCGGGCGAACGGGATCCCAGTGGGTCCGGCTCCCAAGGCTGGGTGTGCTCGGGGCCCCTCGCGGAGTGCAGTCGCGTCCCTCCCCTAAGAGCCGCCCAGCCTGGCTAGAGCAGGGCCCGGAGAGGTGCCAGCGCCACGCCAGGGAGCTCTGCCTGCTCTGAAGATGGCCTGGAGCTGGGCCCTGCACCTTCCTCTGAGTGCCACCCCTTCCAGGCGGGAGGGCTCCCCTAGTCCCCACCCTGGCAGCTTTGTGCCCACCCCTTCCACCAGCTGCACGCCCACCCCTTTGGACAGATCCCCCACCCAGCAGCCGAGCTCCCCAGTCTGCAGAGAACTGGCAGGGAGAAGGGGGGGACCAGCAGACACTGCCCCTGGCCAGTGCCCCCAGGTGACAGAAGGCGGCTCCCCAGCGCCTGTGGGTACACTGTCTCTGTCAGATGGTGCTGCTGGGAGGAGGGGCCTGTCCCACCCAAATCTGCCTGCCCCCCCCCCACGGCTCCCTGAATACCCATCCTTCCACAATCTGCTCCTTTTGTGCAGGAGACAAAGCAGGCAACTTCACCGGTTTGGGGACAGGAGCTGAGGGAGGGACCTTGTGGGGCCTGTGTTTCTCGGTGGGGGGGCAGCCAGGCTCTCACTGAGGGTGGGGTGAGGACAAGCTTCTGGTGCTGAAGTCTGGGGACAGAGGACTTACAGGAGCGGCACTGAAAGGAAGCTGTGTGCCCCGGGAGGCGGGGCCCCGGGTTTGCAGTGCAGCCAGTGAGTCCCCTCCCCCACCCTGGGCACTCACACTGGGGGGCAGCCAGGAGCCCTGGGGGTGTGGCAGGAGGCTGCAGGGGGACCAAGTTACCATAGCAACGGTCAGAGAGTGAGCTCTGGGCTAAGCTCATGAAGGAGGGGAGGCGAGGAGGTAGAACTGCAGAGTGGGGGAGGGCCGTGCTGGGACCTGGGGTCCTCGCTGCCTTCCGTGGGCTGTGTGACCACAGGCACACGCGGTTCCTCTCTGTGCCTCCACTGTCACGTGTTCAAAACGGAGCCCACCTGCACCTCACAAGGCTGCGGTGGGGGTGTGATGCGCAAGGAGGCACTTGGCCAATTGCGGCCACTGTCACTCATTGTCACCTGGTGTGGACGAGAGGGGCCGTGGAGCCTGTGGATCTGTGACACCCAAGGCTGTGGGCCGGTGCTGCCGGGGCCTCTGAGGCCGGTGCTGGCAGGGCACCCTGGCCAGTGAGAAGCCGTGCGGCGTGAGCGGAGGTGCGGCTGCTGGACAGCTCGGTGGGCCCCTCCTGCCTCCTGTAGAGTCACAGCCCAGAGCCCCCTCTGTTCTCCTAGGCCCCCGACCCCACGAGAAGGGGTTCAGGGGAGGGAAATGGGGGGCACGAGTGAAGGGAAAGGTCCAAGACAAGGGACAAGCAGAGGCCAGGTGCCCACGTCACAGGCCTGGAGGCTTTAATGTCTGGGGAGTGGCCTTATGCCAGACAGATACGCACTGACCAGGCCGATGTGAAGGACGTTAGGATGTCCACCTGAGTCTGGCGAGGAGACGGGCCTGCCAACCTGCTTCCTCCTGACTTTTGGGGGCTTCCTGACTGTCCGTTTAGCTGTTGACGGGGAGGCTGCCATGCTGGGCAACCTTCTCGCTCCAGCAGCTCCGTCCCCAGCACCGGTCATGCTGGCTCCCGCTCCAGGCCGAGGCGGTGCGGGCTTCACGGCCTGGGGGGAATGAGGGTCTCCTGGGAGCCCTGACGCTGGTCGAGGCTGCCCAGGGAGGACCTGAGGCTCAGGGAGCCCAGGGGACTGGCCGTGCCCTGCAGGGATTCCCGTCCTCTCAGCAGCTCAGTTGCTGCCACCTCCACTTCCTCTGGTTCCATCCGGCAGGCGTCTGCCAGGGCATGGCCCGTTGCCATGACAAAGCCAGCATCCGCCGCCAAAGTGTCCAGGCCACCTCGAACCAGAGCCTGCAGGGAGGAGAGGCGGTTGAGTAGGGTCTTCCCGGGGCGCTGCTGGGGGCGCTGCCTCCACTGGCCCTGCCCACACCCTTCCCCAGGCCACCCAGGGCCACCCCTGAAAGCGGCCCACAGCTCTGGCCCAGCCCTGGGTTCACCTCTTGGATCAGCAGGGCCGTAGCTGAAGCCGGGCATCTGGACGGACCCTCCTGGGTCCTACTGCTGTGGGGGGTTTGCTCAGGCAGAGACCCTGGTGTGGGGCGCCTCCTCACCTCAGGCACTGGGGGCTGTTCAAATGCACAGAAACAAAGATCCCGACAGGATGCTGGGCACGGTGAAACCCCAGCTCTTTCAAGGGAACCTCAGCCAAGACCCAAGAAAGGGACAGACCCAGGCGTCGGGTCCCCTCTGCAATGGACCGGAAGCCACCGTCCAGCCCTCCCTGGGCCTGGAGTTCCTCCCAGGCGCTGCCCCGTTACCTGGCAGGGGGCAGGAGGGGCCGGGGCTGTGGGCACCAATCTCTGGGCCAGCTGTCCTTTCCGCTTTTCCGCACAGGATGTGCTGAGGGGTCCTGTGGGCAACATGGGGGGAGAACAGGAGGGACTGTGACCTCTGCCAGCGGCCCTGAGTCGACAGAGCTGGGCTTGTCCAGTGAGCCACACTCAGAGGCCCTCAGGCTGGGGTAGGCGTCCTGGAGGGTGGACACGTGCAGAGGCCCCAGTCCAGGCTGGCGGAATGCGCCGCGCACCCGCTGCCCCACGTCCCCCGAGCACACCCTACTGCCCTGGTCCTTGTCCTTGTGGGTGTGGGCTGGGGCGTCTGGCCAGAGTCTGACCAGCTCCGGCCAAGCTGTTTTGCGTTGGTGTGCATGTGAGCACAGGGGTGTGTGTGTTGGGAGCAGGGCAAGGACCCACGTCTCCACTGAACTCCAGCATCCTCAGGGCTCCCACTGTCACACACGGCGGCCTAGGACCTACTGGGAGATGGGCAGGTCATCTGCTGGCAGGCCCAGAGCCAAGGCTCCCGGGGCTGTGCTCAGGGCTCCCCCTCGCTCTCGCTCAGTCCCCCAGATGGCACCCTTCCCCTCTGCCTGGACGAGGAGCCGGCCCTGACAGCGCTGATTCCAGGCCCAGCTGGTTCTCATTGAACAGGCTCCCAAGCCGGTCCTCCCGGCCAGGCTCCCCAGCTGCCAGGCAAAGCGGGCTCCCCAGGCCCCTGGGAGGAGACCCACCTTCTTGGGTGCCCAGAAAAGACAGACCCAGGGCTCCTCCTCTGGCTGCGGGGGTGTCTGTCTCCCCAGCAGGCTCCCTTTCATAGTGGACGCTGAAACGGAAGCAAAGCCCGTGAGCTAGAGTGGGCTGCTGGGTCTCCTGCCATCCGTCCTGTTCCCTCAGGGTCTGGACCCGCCATCGCACCGCAGCCTTGACCCCGGGGCTGGCGCTGCCACCGCCCTGCCCAGCCCGCCCTGCGTCCCCACAGCCCCACCGCTGCCCCTCGCTCGAGGGCTCCCCCCGTCAGAGGTGCTGTCCTCCCAGCCTCCCCGCAGCTGCTCATCCTCCGGGGCCCAGCTCCAGCCTCTCAGCGCTAAGGACACTGCACAGTGGTTCCCCCGGGGACTTTAAGAACTAGCCAAGGCCGCATGCCCCCCCTTCCCGCCCCATGGGCCCCCCCTTCCCGCTCCAGGCCCAGGCTCTGCCGTTTTTGACAGCCCCCCAGGTGTTCCTCACTCTGCTGAGCTCAGTTCTCGACCTTTCCAGCCCATGGTGATCAACACCCCCTCTGCATTCTCAGGACACCCACTCTTTGAAATGATTCGGTCCCCGTGGTATCACATGACACATCCCTCAACAGGGAAACAACCGTCTTTCCACACCACCTAGCAGCACAGTCACCCCAAGGCGCATCCTTCCAGGTGTGGGCCCAATTCCCGGCTCTCTGTCTGGAAGGCAGTGCCCGTGGCCCGGGGCCGTGGGAGGTGGCCTCTGGCCTGGCCCGCCCACCCCTGAGGGCCTGGGACTCAGCCTGGCCAGGCCACCGAGACCTCCATCTCCCGGCCCCCTGCCTAGAACAGAAGCTCTGCGTGGTGCCCAGCCCCCTACATGAGGACTGAGAAGGTATCCCCAGCCCACTGTTTCCATGACACTGATGTGATTGCAGATTTGGGGTTGCAGAGATGGGAACCACCCAGTGCAGTGGCACCTCCCTGGGCCCCAAATCCAACGAGTGGCCCTTAATCATTCACGGTGTTTTGTAGCATGTGCTGCCGCTGAAGGTCCCTTTCCTAACGGAACCTGTGCAGTGGCTCTCAGCTCCTAGACCTGCTGTAGGTGATGCAGTAGGAGCCCCACTGACCCGGCGCCAATGCCGACACGAGGCTGCCCCCTGCTGGCTGCAGGCTCTTTGCAGTCCAGCATTAAGTGCCGGATGGTCTCCAAAGGGCACAAAAGCAAGCGAAGGACGCTACACATTTCAGGGCACCCCCTCCAAAACAGCCTGGGGCCCACCGACCCTGTCTTCCCAGTCCTGCCCCAGGGCCCCTACATCCAGGCCTGGCAGGTGCCACCACTACCTGGAAAACGCCGGGCTGTCACTATGGCTGCAGTTGCCACGGGCAACGTTGGCGTTGGCGTTGTTGGTATTGGCACGAGCAAGGGGGTTGGTTCCCGGGTCCTGAGGGAAGTCCTCCAAGAAGACGGGCGACTCCAGCTCCTCCATCTCTATCTCGGCAAACTGGAGGGGTCTCTGGTTGGCCATGACGGGGGCCAGGGAGTTGGTCCTTTCCAGGAAGCTGTCCACCTGGCCAAACAGGCCTCCTGTCCTCTAGGGACAAGGATAGTGGAAGGACTGAGAGCAGGGCTGGGGGTGACGGCTGGTGTGGGACGAGGCTTCTGGGCACAGTGATGGTTTGGGGAGACAGACACTATACAGAGGGGACTGGACCGGGCTGGGGGCCAGAGAAGAGACCGTCTCCCCTCAGAGAGTCCTCACGCTGAAGGGGTGGACAGGACTTGCAGGAGATGCAGACACGGCGTAGTGGGGCGAGCACAGAACTGGGGGTCTGGAGGGCTGGTCACAGCCCCACCCCTGAAACCCCCTTGCTAAGCACTACTGGACACCTCAGATCATCTCTTTGGACCATCATTTTCTCATGAATGACCCAAGAAGGTTTAACAGGTGCTCATGAGAACTTTGCAGTTCGACAGCGTCAGTAGACAGGGCTGAAGACTGAGAACTGGTGTCCCTGGAAGCCGTTGAGGCATTTGATAATGCGGGGGCTTGTGACGGATGAGGGCCGACTAGGGCTTGTGGGGAGGGGAGGAAACGGTGACACCTGGTGGAGGAAGACGGGAAAGGATGTTCTATTTGACACCTCGAGGAGGTTGGGTCATTGGTCCTGCGTCGGCAGGGATGAGGGTGCTGGGTGTCTTCAGTTTCCACGTTCCCTCCTATATGGCGGGGTTCCTGGCCTGCCTCTCTGGGGGACATTGCTGTCCCCGGGGCCAGAACCCACGGGCGGTCATGCCTTCCCTCACCCGGAATATCCCTTCTTCCATCGCGGCCTCCACCATGGCTCTCTCCAGCTCCTCTTCAGCCGTCAGGTCTCCTGAGATGGTCCGGCGGATCTCAGGGGCAGCCTCCTCCTCGATGGTCCGCAGTCCGGCCTGGGGACGGACAGGAGAGTCAGGGACCCCTCCAACACAGGACGGGAGACCAGGCTGCTCCCCACGGCCTGACTCATTTCTAAGCCTTGCAACTGGGGCTTCAGTTCTGGCTCCACTCTGTCTCCGGCTCGTTCAATGACCCAGGGCTCTACGAGGCCACCAGGTCCTGCTCTGGCCTCTGAAATAGTCCAAACCCTTCGGGTCCCCAAGGAGTTTTCTCTCAACCACATGGATAATTTCATTCCCTCCCAGGCCTCCAGGTTGATCAATCTTTTTAGTCAGCACAGCTGTCCAGACAAATGATCTCTCGATCGCACGTGCCACTAATAAAATTCTTTGGAGCTGATCAAAGTTCATATCACCAGCAATGGGACAAATCAAGATTGGGTGTCGCATGATAGTTTGCCAATGACAACACGCCATCACTCCTGTGACATTCCTGTCCAAGAGGCGTATCCTAAACGTACCACGAGGAAACACCACACAAACCCAGACTGAGGGATACCCCAGCCTGTAATCTTCAAAAGGTTCAAGGAAAGACCATGGAACTTGTCCCAGGTGCCAGCGACTAAAGAGCTATGGCCACTAAATGCAATGGATGACTCGGGATTGCATCTTTGTGCTGTAAAGGACGTTATTGGGACAACTGGTGACGCTTGCGTGGGCAGGAATGTATCAGTGTCAACGTCCTGAGTTTGGGGGTTGCACTGTGGCACATTGAGAATGATGCTGGAGAAAGCCCTCGTTTGAAGGAAATACACCTGAAAGTGTCCTGGGTTGATGGGATATCATGGTGGGAATTCCTCTCAGATGGTTCAGGGGAAAAAAAAAAAAGATGTTTGTATTATACATGCAACTTTTACAATTGTGAGATTGTTGCCACGTGAAAATTAAAATAGAAATAAAATTTTGAGCACACAGCCTACGTGCATGCATGTTTTTTTTGAATTTATAAATTAGGTGCATTGCAACTAACACCAAAAAAATAGAAACAGAAAGCAGATGAGATAAAACAGTAAAGGTGTAAATTCCTTTGCGTACGCAGTGGCTCATTCCAAGCACCGCCTGGGAGGTCTGACCTCTTTGGAGAATATTGCTCTTGTCTAGCTCAAACCTCTCCTTTGAGCAAAACCCCAATCCTTACGGTCTTATCGCGCAGAGATGCAAAAGCTCCTGGTTCTTCTGAGGCTGAAACGTCTCCCATCATGGACCACCCAGAACTGTCATCTCCTTTCCTCAGACGCGGAGAGGGAGCGGGGCCCTGAGACCTGGCTCGGCAGCAGGGTCGCCTGGGGCTCGGGCTGGGCTCACCTGGACTCACCTGGGCTCACCTGGACTCACCTGGATCTGCACGGCGTCCTTCTTGGGCCGATACCCGTAATACTCCTCCTGGCGTTTCATGAACTTCCGGAAGTGTTCCTGGATGAGGAACGTGGCGTAGAACTTCCCCACAGTCACCTCGTCATCTGCAGAGGGGCCAACGAGGGGTGTCCTGAAGGCCGGTGGCGATGTGACATGAGGTTCAGAGTAGGGGCCAGGCGGAGCCAGGACAGGGTACGTCAGGCCCCCCTCCTCTAGCTGGCCTGGCTAGTGGGCAGGTTCTACCCTGATGGCCTCTGCGGGGTCTACCTGAGGTATTTACAGGGGGCCCGGGCCATGCTCAGACGCAGAAGCCCTTGTCCCCTTTCCTCAGCTGCCTCTGGGCGCCAGCCTCTCGAAGCAGCACCCACCTCCTATGGGAGGGATGACCTGATCCAGGAGCTTCATACTGGTTCTCTTCCAGATCTTCTTGATGATGGCCCTCAGCTCCTCATTCGCCTGCTCGAAGTTACCTGGGGACAAGGGACAGGCAGAGCGGCCCGACGTCACCCAGGCCGAGCCAACTACGCTTGACGAGGCCACCTCTGAACTTCTCACTCAGGAAACGTTGGCTGGGTTTCCTTTGGTGGCAGCTGGGCCCTGGCCGTGGGGGAGGGTGTCCCTGTCCCCCTGGGGCAGCCCGGTCCTGGGGTCCTGCACTCACTTCCCCATAGGCCTGGGCTCCCCGGGCTCAGGAGGGCTGACTTTGAAGGCTGTCATCTCCTGTGCACCCCCTTTCCCTCCTCCCTCCAAAGCCATCAAATGCCATGTGCTGGGGTCTGCCCCCAGGACCCAGGCCGCCTCCCTGTGCTCTGACATGGCTTCTTACTGACTCTTGGCCTGTGGCTCTCAGCCGCCTGCAATGGTCCTGACCGCCCGTGGGGATGGCTCTGACACAGCCCACTCCCAAGCGAGGGCTCAGGGACAGTCCTGAGACCCCACCCTGCTCTCACCGAGTCTGTCTCCCCGGCAGGTCGGGATCAGCAGGTTCAGCAGAGCTCGGTGAGGACGCCATCAGGCTGCCTGCCTGCCCAGTGCTACCTGAGTAACTCCTGTGCTCACGACCAGGCCCGAACCTCCGGGCACCCCCAGCAACCCCCCCACTGCCGCTTCTGGGCCACAGACACAGCTGTGCGGGGACAGAGCCTTATGACCTTTGCTCAGTGGAGAATGTCAGGCTCCCTCTGAGCCCTGAGGGCCACGGTGACTTTGTGGTCATGGTCTCGGGCTCTCCCCCTGCTTTTCCCCATGACTCTTGGTTCCAACCTTCAGCTCAGAGGATCTGGCAGAATCTGCACCAGAAAACGCATCCTCTGGGGGCGGGGGAGGGGCTCACCTTCTGTCTTGATCTTCAGGGCCGTGCGGACTAGGGCGAAGAGTGTGGCATTGAAGGTGACCGTTCCGTCACTGTTCAGGGGCATGTTCATGCCCACGAGTCGCTGTGTGGGGACAGGTGGGGACGCGCTGCTGAGCCAGGACTGGCCAAGCCTGCGGGCCATCCTCACCTGGTCTGAGGTCCGGAAGAGGCCAGGAAATGCGAGCGGGGTGGGGGGAAGGGGGGCGGGCTGACCAGGAAGCCCTTCATGAGGGGATGGAGGGGTGGGTTGGGGGACATTGTCAAGACTTCAGGTCCTCAGGGAGGGATGTGGGGACCCAGGCGATGACTGCTCCAAGGTGACAGCCAATCAGGCCCTCAACAGTTCCCCGCCAGGGCCCCTGGGCCTCCCCCTCTTCCAGGGGCGCCCTCTTGGCAGCTCAGGTTACCTTACATGCCACCCGGTGCGGACAGAACTTCCCAAAGCCCAGAGGGGGCTGAATCCTTCTCAGCAGGGTCACCACGTCCAAGTGTTTGATTCTGCCCCTGCAGGAGGACACACAGGCTTGGGGACCTGGCAGCCCCGCCCAGAGAGTGGGCCAAGGGGACAGGGGAGTGAATGCACCCTGATTCCCCAGCCATGTTTCGGAAGTGGGGAGCCTGCTTCTTGTGGAGAAGAAATGATGTTTGAATTCACGGATGCCTGGCACCAGGACTGGGCTCCCTCTGGGCAGGCAGAGGCCGGGATTCCCTCAGAGCAGGGCTCCCAGGGCTGCAACCTGGGCCCCTTTTCCCCACGGCAGAGCCTTCCTTGGGTTTTGATCAAGCTGGCTGCGGGCTCTCGAACTATCTCAATAGAAGCAGTGGGTGTGGTTCAAGGGAGGCGGAAGCCCACCTGTGACCTGTGTCACAGGTTATCGTAAGGATTAAGTGCCACAGTGCACCTGGGACAGTCATCAAGCATGAGCTCACTTCTGTTTTAGAAAGGACGCTAGGCAGAGGTGCCGGCAGATGCCCTGAGGACCAGGCTACGAGCAATGCAGGGTCTGACCCAGCTGGGGCCGGGGCAGGGGGCTCCGCGTTTGTATCAGGCTCCAAGCTGCTGGTCCGTGGACCACACTGTGAGTGCCCTGGGCTGAGCGCCTGGTGAGCTGTTCAGTTCCCCACTCCTAGAAGTATCCACGCAGAAGCTGGGTGACCATTACCCCATGAAGTCCAGGGGGTTTTGGCCCTGGGGGTGGAGGGCACGGTGGTCAGGCAGTGGGGTTCCTTCCAACCCTGAGAAACTGCAGATCTCTGATCTGGGACCTTAAATATTGAAGGGAGAGGAAGCCCGTGTGTTCTTATTAAACTGGAGGGTGATCGCCTTTCGGACACAGGACAGGTCTAGGATGGAGGGGGGGCAGGCGAGGGAGGACCCAGCACGGAGCCTGCAGCCTGGACTCACTTCGCCTCCGGGTCGTACTCTGCCCAGATGGCCTTGAACTCATCCAGGTGATGAGGGCCCAGGATGGACCAGTCCCGCGTGAGGTAGTCGAAGTTGTCCATGATGACGGCCACAAAGAGGTTGATGATCTGGAACAGGTGACCGAGGGTTCCCAACATGGCAGGCGGTACGGGGACAGGGTGGGGGCTGAGAGCGGCCCGCTGGGTACGGGGGCCACAGCTTCTCCGTACCTGGGCCTTCTGAACCACCTGTGTCCCCCCACACACACACAAGCTGCCTGTGTCCCAGCTGTGAGCTCTGGCCAGGGAGCTTGGCGCCATCCTCTGTCACCCAGCTCCAGCTCCTCCAATGCCAGCCTCTCGTCCCCTCCCCAGGGATCTCCCCTGCTCGGTGCCCTTGTGGGATGGCACCCCTACTACTGCTGTAGCCTTCTCTGTATATACGGGTGTCCCCTGGAATTGCAGGGTTGCTGACACAGACCCCCCTGGTGCCCAGTGAGCCCAGGGCTGTGTCTCACTCCCGTGTCTGTCCCCTGCACTGAGCCCAGGGCCTGGCACTCATCAGGTGCTCACACAACCGTTCTGAGCGTACAGGAGAGAAAACCAAGCTAGGGGACGAGGGCCCAATGCACGCTGCCAGCTGCCTGTCTTCCCCGCAAGCGAGCAGACAGCAGCCCCGAGTCCAACATGATGGGGGCCTCCAGGGGGGCCTGCTTTCCAGGGTCTCAGGGTCCTCCTCATGGGAGGACTAGAGGCCAAGCAGCTCTGTTGGAAGACCTTGCCAGTTAGGACAGAGCCTCATGAATCCTTTTGGTTAGAAAAGAATTCCAACAACAACAACAAAAAGGAAAACCTGTAGCCACCCCTCTGGACCACGACAAAGCACACTGAGGATGACAAGGCCTGAGGTCAAGCCCGAGCGCCAGCAGCTGGCCAGGAAGGCCCACCCGCCCAGCCGGCCAGCACGGCACGGCCCACGGCGTCTCACCAGGAAGGCACAGAGCATGTAGAAGCTGATGAAATAGTAGTAGGCGAAGTTGGTGCCGCACGAGTACTCCTCGCCGGGCGCGTAGTCCGACGCGGGGTCGCACAGCTTGCCAGGGCTGCAGGCCAGCAGGATCTCCTGCCACGCCTCACCTGTCGCACACCTGGAAGGGAGGGGCTCCTGTTGGCCCACCCGCTCGTGGGTGGTCAGCAGCCCGGGGTGGGGGCAGGAGAGCGGACTGGGCCGCCCCTTGAGGTGGGGAGGTCAGCCCCCGGGTGTGCCGTGCCGTTCAGGGCATGCCGGGCCTCAGTTTCCCCTCTGGGCTCTACCTATTGGGGGAGGAGCTAAATGAGAGCAAAGGGGTTTCTTGGCTGGAGGGGCAAAATCAATCCACAATTCGAGTCCTTGGTGGGGGTGGGGGACGGCAAGGGAGCACTGTGCTGGCCAAGCTCAGCAGGGCTGGAGGTCATCGAGGCCTTTGGACCTCTGCCTCCGGCTCTGGGATGAAAGTGGGGGAACAGGACCGGCTCCATCCTTTGGGGGCTCAGTGCAAAATGAAGACATGGGGCCGCTTGTTCAGAAATGCTTTGCAAAGTGGCGATGCCGTGGACAGCGGTGAGCAGAGCTGCCTTCCAGAAACGACCCGGACAAGAGCCCCAGCCTCCTGTGCGCAGGTCGCGTGTGGCCGCACAGGTCACGCCGGGCAGCCAGCCCCGCCTCCAGTGCACAGAGGGCAGTGCAAAGGCCCAGGGGTCAGTGGGGGCGGGCAGGGGGCAGGGGCGCCTCGTGCCTGAAGAGCAGCAGCACAGCCTGCGGGAAGGTCTGGAAGTTGTTGTTCCGGTTTATTTGGGTCCCGTCCACCAAGGCGATCTTTCCAAACATCTGCAAACCACACAGGGCTGACGGGGGAGCCTCCGTAGAGCCTGCCCGCAGCCGTCTCCCACCTGAGCCACCCCCAGCCCATCCAACCTGCTGCTGACGCGCTTCCCGTACGGCCGCATCAGACCAGAAACCAAATACATAGGCCTGTTTGCGTGGTCATTTGGGGGGGCTCTTCCCATCAAGCCCCAGAGAAGAAGCAGGTGGACGACCTTTCCCAATGGGGAGCTCGCGGACTTGGGGACACCAGGTAGGGAAGGGGGACAGGGCCGTCGGGGGGACGGGCTGAGCGGCCTGCGCCTGTGGCAGCCTCCGAGATGCACTGCAGCTGCCGGGGGACCCCGGCGCTGTTGGGTGAGAGGCAGGAGGGGCGAGGGCCCAGCCTCTGCAGGCGTCCCTGAGGCCCCTCGCACTCGGCTGGGGCCCCTCCTCTCACCTGCATGCCGATGACGGCGTAGATGAAGAACAGCATGGCGATGAGCAGAGCCACGTAGGGCAGGGCCTGCGGGAGGGGCGGGTCAGTCACAGGGCCCCCTGCTCCCTCTGCAGCCTGCCGCCCCCCTCAGCTCACCAGGGGCCCCAGGTCCCCCCGGAGCTCCACCCCGTGCCCGCCTGGCACGGCCCCAGAGCAGCGGGCTGGACAGCTCACCTGGAAGGACTTGATGAAAGTCCACAGCAGGGTTCGCACCCCCTCTGCCCGGTTCAGCAGCTTGATCAGCCTCATGACCCGGAACAGGCGGAAGAAGGCGCTGGAGATGCGGGCGCTTTCGTCTGGGTCCTGCGGGGCGGCAGCCCCAGAAGTCAGCCTGGGGGTGGCACCTCCGCGGGGTCAGGGGCAGGTGGGGTGGGGGGGACAGGGTGCAGGGGGAGGCAGGAGGGGCGGGTGCGCGGTGGGAGAGCACGGTGGGGCTTACGGCCCGGCCATGACGGTGCCGGACCATCCTGGGCTCAGGGCTCTGGGCTTGTCCAGCTGGGAGGATGGGGTGAGTGTGGCACGCCAAGCATGCAGGGAGCCCATTCTCAGGAGAGGCCAAAGGGACCGGGCCCACCGCCGCCCCTCTGGGGTCTTCTGCCTCATCTCACCTTGTCCTCGGGCTGCCACTGAGCCGAGGACCCTGGCAGCTCTCCTGCCCCCGTCCCCTAGGGTTCCCCCAGTACAGAGGTTCCCTAAAGCTGTGTTGCTCTGTCACCATAATTCAACACGGCTAGTCCCCACCACCCCATCCCACACATGGCTGTCCTAAGCCAGGCCAGCCCCTGACCTTGGGCTAGCCTTAGACACCTGGTAACTCTGGAAGGGGAGGGCCCGCTGCCCAGCTCCTGTGTCCCCAAAGGCCTTGTGCCTGTGACCTGTCACTAAGGTCTTCTGCCAGCCAGCAGCACAGTCCTCTCTGGATGTCCCCTTCTGCACTGAGGGTGCCACAGGGACCCCTCGCCCCATTTCCCAGGGTTCTGAGACAGCCACTCCAACCATGCACGGTCTAGCTCAGAGCCCCTGCCCCAACCTTAACCCGGCCCTGGGGGGCCTGCTCTGGGGAAGGGAGTCCTGAGTGTGGGGTCCACCCCATGCAACCCACGACCAGGCCCGAGCATGCAAGCCGCAGCACAGAGCTCATGCAGCCTGGAATTACAACGGTCCCGCAGCCTCCACCCAGGCAATACAGTCCCCCACTGGAGGCCAGGAAAGTCTGTGGAGAGAAGAGACGAGGGGGGGGGCACAGTGGGAGGGAGGTGTCAGACAGGACTGACGATGGAAAAGTTAACGAGAGAAAAAGGGGGGCAGGGCGTGGAGACCTGAGGTGGGGACGCAGCCGTGGGGAGGGGGCGGCAGGCTGGGGAAAGACAGCAGGAGGCGGCGGGAAACCCCCCGCGGAGAGGTCCCAGCTGGTGGTCAGGCTGCATCTACAGCTGACAAGGGGCTCAGGCTCGCGTCCTGTGTGTCTGGGGTACGTGATGCTGGGGACCTCCCTGAGGGTCACGTTAGAATGCACGTGTGCACCATCATAAGTGGGGTACATCCCTACCCCCCTGAGTCCAGGGGCGTTGACCAGCACCCTTGTGCCACCGAGGCCCTATGGACGTGCCAGATGCTTCTCCGCCCCGGCCTGGGAGCAGGACCATGGCTTCCCGCTCACGGCCGGGCTCTTAAAGGGCAGGCTCGGGGTGGAGCACGTTTCTCTCTCACACTCAGCTTCTCCTTCGGCCACGTGTCAGGGGCGGCCCTGCTCTGGGGTTCCCGGACAGGGGACGTCCTTGCTTCATATTCCAGTTATTTTCGGGTGGGCTGGTTCCCAGCACACCGGTGGTTTTCCCCACCAAGAGGCGGCCTCTTGGGCGGCGTCTCCCTGGACCACTGGCTCTCAACCCTGGCTGCATATCAGAATCACACGGAGAACTTAAAAATATATGTGTCCCTTCTCTGGGTCCCCACCCAGGCCGGTGAAGTCAGCCTCTGGGCGATGGACCTGATTTCGGGGTAACTGTGCCCTGGGTGCCTCATCTGCAGCCAGGGTGACAGGGCGTTCTTGGCTTGTATTGTTCATACAGCGGCCGCCAGGCTCGTGTGGCTATTTGAATCAGTGGGAATGACATACAAGTAGAAATCCATCCCCTCAGTTGCATCTAGCATAATCCACGTGACCCACAGCCACGCGAGACTGGACTCCCGTCACTGCAGGAAGTTCAGACGGACAGTGCTGGCCTAGCCTCCTCCCTGGCTTGTGTGTCAGGAATATAAATCAGCATTTGAGTTTCAAGTCTTAACACGGCTGCAAACAAACATTGCTGGTAAGGGACACCTGATGCTCCTAACAATCAAATAATGACCCAGCGACACCTGCTGGTCCTCCAGCACCGAAGAAACTTTAGATTTCTCCAGGCCTCCCTTGCGCGGACCTCAGATGTGCAGAGGCAGCTCGCTTTAGTCTGGGCTGTTATTTAGAGTTCTCTCTTCTGACTGTGCTGGTTGACAAGTGCTGTTCTCAAACCGGGGGCCCCTGGGAAGCTGTTTCCAGCGAAAACAGAGTAACGGCAGCATGCACTGGTTTGGTCTTGAGCCCAGCTGCCCCTCGGGATCTGAGCAGAGAGGGGTCAGCCTTTCACTGTCTATTCTGTACGTGGGGCTGAGCAGGACTCTGAGGCCAGGCTCCCCCCAAGACCACCGGCGCGGCCCCCAAGTGACCAGAAGGGGACACGCCCTGCCAGGGCTTCGCCTGTAGGCGCCTTCCTCACAGACTCCAGACCTTTCTCAGCGAACCCCTCACCTCGCCCTTCCCAGGGGTTTCCAGGGCCACCTGCTCCCCCCCTCCACCCAACGTCAGGTTCACCCCTGGGCTGGCAGTTGAAACTGCTCCTCGTTGGGCCGTGGGAAGTTCAGAAGGCAGCCTAGGTGTGGATGAGACCCTGGCTGGACCCCCTGAGCCAAAACTGCCCCCCACAGTAGAATCCCACCATGGCCATGGTCAGGGTGACTCATGAGATGCGTGCTGTTCTCCACACTCCCTGCGCCCCCACCCAGGAGGCAGCTCGCAGGCTGTCGCCCACAGGGAAGCTGTCTTTATATTCCAGCCCCTGAACCATCTCATCCTTGTCCCCCGTCCCCCCAACCCTGCAGGGACCTTTAGCTTCAGACCCTCAGCGAGGCCACCCCTGGAGGGCGCGGCTTTGAAGGTCTTGAGCGTGGGTCTATCTGGCAGAAGCCTCCCTGCCCCCCATTGCTTTTTCTTGTTTCTCATTGCACCCCCAGGGCCTCGCCCCCCCAATCCCACGCTCTTGGTCCAGCTCCTGGGGACATTTGCCTCCCTGCTCAGTGTGGGCCCCAGGACCTGCCAGGTTACCAGCACCCTTGCCTGCACCGAGCACCCCGCCCTGCCTGCTGGCCCTCAAGACCACACGCTCCTGGGGTCTGCCCGCCTCTCCCCAGGCTCCAGGGCTGCAGGCATGACTCCAGGGGACACTGAGCTGACCAGGCCCACCCAGACTCAGGCCCCTGCCCCAGGGCTGCAGGGCACCCACCATTCTCCTGTGATGCATTCATCCCATCAGCTGTGCCTCAGGGGGCCCGGTGCGCCCGCCCTCACGCCCACTGCCCTCCCTGGCAGTGGGGACTCAGGCCCAGGGCCTTCGCGCGAACTTGGTCCTCCCCCACAGCACACTGTCACCATTCCTGCCTGGCTTCATTCGAGCCCCTGCTCAGATGCCACCTTGACACCGACCTGTCCTCTCCTTCCCTCCCCTCTGAGGCTTTGACCTGCTCTGTCTTTACATAGCTCGGCACACCTGCTGTGTTACGGGTTGGGGTTTTGGTGCCTGTTCTCCCCAACGCCCTTGTTCACGCTGTGACTGCAGCCCCGCAGGAGTCACTGGATAAGTGGGGAGCACATGATGACCGGCTCCCGCACCGGCCCCAATCTCTAGCCTCTATTTCCCGCCATTCTGACGTCCTGCCCTTGCCTCCAGGTGAGCTGTGGGGAGGACCCTTTCACCCTCGCACTGCCCCGTGGCAGCCTCCAGGGGCTTCCTACTTGCCTCCTCCCTCCGCGTGTTCACAGACTTCTCCTAACCAGACCACGCATGCCCGGAACCTTCTTTGTCCGGAACCTTCTTTGCCCTTATTTCCTGCTCTCTGCTGCTCCTACGCCCTGCCGTGGTGCTTTGCTCTGCTCCCCAACTCCAGTCCGTCTGTGTTTCCTCCAGGCACCGCTGCCACGAAGCCTTCCCTGACCACCCCACCCAGAGGTGACCGCTGCCGTCCACTAGCTCTTGCCTCGGACAGGCTGGCACGCCCATTATGTCTGCCTGGGATCTGAGTGGTCTGTCTGCTCTGCAGGCATGTCACTCCTGTCATTTCCACCTTTGTCACCCCAGGGTGACACGCACTGGGTCCCCTACAAACATCTGTGGACCAGACACGCGCATCTGCCCACCCCAAGGACGGTTCCCCCCACCCCAGGGATGGCCCCGTCCACCCCAGGGACAGCTCCGCCCGCCTGACACTCACGTCGATCTCGCTGAGGATGACATCAATGATGCTGCCAATGACAATCAGGAAGTCAAACACATTCCAGGGGTCCCCAAAATAGCCCTGGGGGGACAGGACACAACCTGGGTGAGCTTTGGGAGGAACAGCTCTGGCGGCCAGCAGGGTGTGGTGGTCCTGCCATGGGGACGCAGAGCACGGGCCAGGCCGAGGGGGCTCCCCTGTCCACTGGCGCTCTCCCGCCCCCCCACTCCTGTACCCCGCTTTGGCTCCTTATTTCCTCCAGAGCATAAAGTGGTGGGTCAGGGCGGAGGGAAGGTATGGTTGGGAACTCAGGATTTGGGGTCCTGGTCTGCACGGGGAGCTCTTTCACCCGGCCGCCCTCGAAACCCTGCTTGGGGGTGTGGCTGGGTGGGTACATGGGAGTGGACTTGGGAACCAAAGACACAGCAAGGTCCTCCCGCCCACCCCGGCTCTGGGTTGAGTCATCAGTAGCTCAGGGCGGCAGGAGGGTAAGGCAGGCTCTGGGGAGGGGCAGCCAGTATCCATTCTGTCCTCTGCCAGCCAGGCTGGCAGCCCAACTATCTTGCCCGCCCTGTGTCTGAAGGTAGACATGGCCAAAGCAGCGAGCAGGCGGGGAGCAGACGTGCGCAGGATGCAGGGCCTTCTGTAGGTGAGGCTGGGGTGGGGGTGCTCCGTGAGAAGGTCCCCGCCCCGCCGGGTCCCACCAGCTCCTCCAGCCCTGTGGCCCCCGCACTCACTCGGGCCTTGAACGCCATGAGCTTGAGGACCATCTCCAGGGTGAAGATGATGGTGAAGGCCACGTTGAGGATGTCTGAGATGTGGTTCATCTGCTCGGACTGGTTGTAGTGCTGTGGGGGGGGGGGCACAGGAAGAGGGCTGGGAGGGCCGGGCTCCCCCATCCTGCACACCCTCGTGGCATTCCCAGAGCCCCGCCCTTTTCCTGGTGGCCCCACCCCCTGCCTCGGGCAACCCCATTTTTAATCTCAAAACAGTAGGAGCCTGGTTCACACTCCCCTGAGTTCTACCCAGTCTGACGGGTACCCCCACTTCCCCCAAGCAGCGGTGCCCCCCCTCCAAGCCCTGCTGAGGGGCTTTATCTGCACACAGGCCGCAAGCCCAGGCTTGCTCCCATGTTTGTTCTGGGGTGACCAGCAGAGCAGGCCCCCTCGCAGTGCTGTGACAGGTTCCGTCTGGTCGTTTGGACACAGAACCAAGAGAGAAGAGCCCTGGGTCCCGGGGCGGGTGGGCGCTGAGCTCACCAAGCCGACTGCATGTGCCCTTGGCCCCCGTGACGGGGTGTAGCTCGAAGCGAGAACCTTAGCCCCTCAGCCACCACTATGACCTTCCTGACAAAACTTCCCAGGAGCCTCTTACCCTCTTTTTTCCCTGGAAAGTGGATGGCTTCCCACCTCCTCCACAAAACCTCCCCAGGTAGTTCAGGAGAGCCTGGAGGTTGCCCCATCCCACCTGGTCCTGGCAGGATGATCCGAGTCTGCTGCCCGGTTCCGGCCCAAACTCGAGCCCTTGGTCATGATGCTCTCTCTGACCGGGCCCTGCTGGCACGGGGGTTCCCCTCCCACGTCCCCCCCGCCTGGCGGTGGGCAGGCACGTCCTTGGGTGTGTGTTGGCCTCCGAGGACCAGGGAGCCTCACTGCGTGGTTCTGTTTATACAGGCCTTAAGGGATCAAATGCTTAATTAAGGCTTCCTACCACTGCTGACTGATAACTGTCTGTAATGTGTGCTCAACTCCTAAGAGACTCTGGTTCTGCGAATATTAAATCCATTCTTCTTGGGACCAGAGCCAACATTCCAACCAACTCAACCATCCAGATGTGTAGCAGCAGAAAAACAGAGTGGGGGCACTTTGTGGATCTTATACTCCGCCATCCTCCTGCGTGGCCGCCTCCCGTTCACAATCGCCCAGCTCCTACAGTGCTTGAATTATTTCCTTAATAAACTGCTAGGTGCCTGGCAACAGGTGTGGGGCCGGTTCCCTGGTCTGTCCCGCACAGCACCTGGCCACACCGTGCCTGGCACACGGCAGGTGGCGGGAAGAGTAGATTGGGGGACCAGGCTGGGGCTCTGCCCACACCCTGCCCTGCTCCGGTGCCGGCGCATTGGGTCCGTGCATCTGGGGTCCTCACCTGCATGCCCAGGCAGATGGTGTTGAGCATGATGAGAGCAAACATCAGGTACTCAAAGTAGGAAGAGGTGACCAAGTACCATACCTGGTACTGGTATGGGTTCTTGGGGATGTAGCACCTCAGGGGGCGGGCCTTCAGCGCGTACTGCACACACTGGCGCTGAGACGGGACACGGCGGCCATCAGCTCCGAGGCCCCACGCCTCCTCCACACCCACATCCACAGGCTGGAGGAGGCCCGGAGCCCGGGGCGCGGGGGTTGCTAAACCGCCGAGGGGAAGCGTCCCCTTGGCTGGGGGGGGGCCCTCGGAGTCATCACGGGCCTTTGCTGACACGGCGCAGCCCATCCCGGGGCTCTGAAGGGCTTCTCCCTCTGGGCATCATGAGGGCCCCACGAGGGGACCCCCACCCTACCAGCTGGTGTTGCTTCAGACTGGCGATGGGGTGGGGAGCGCGGGGGCTGGGGCTGGGCTTCATTAGGGCATCCGGGGTCACCCCAGCCCCAGAGCTCGGCACAGCCAGGAGGCCTGTCCCCTCCGCCCCGGCAGGCGGCCCAGGCACCTGGTTCTTGTCCAGCTCGCAGTTCTTGTACTCGGTCTCCCCCTGCTCCTGGAAGGTGACGATGACAAAGCCCACGAAGATGTTCATCATGAAGAAAGCGATGAGGATGATGTAGACGATGAAGAAGATGGCCATCTCCACGCGGTTGTTGTACACGGGGCCCTTGTCCTCCTCGTTTGAGTCGATGGCCCTGTACAGCAGCCTGGGGAGGGCGGAGGAGACAGGGCACTGGGCTGGGGGCCAGGCCAGGACAGCGGGCTCTGTGCCCCGGCCATGGGGGCCCAGGGAGCTTTGTGAACAGCCGGGCGATGGCGGAGGAGTCAGAGCCGTGCCACGGAGAGGGCCTGGAACGGGTCTGCCTTTCCGGGGTGCCCCTCTCTCCCGCCTCGGTGTAGGATGCCCCTGCGGTGGGGACAGCCCCTTTGCTCAGATCCTCCCCAGTCAGACTCTTTGGAGGGACCGGTCAGCACTCCAGTCCTGCAGACCACCAGAGTGGGCAGGGGTGGCTGAGCACGTGCCGCGGGCCTGGCCCTGCCCCGACCGTGGCTCCCCCAGCTCCAGGCCCAGCCCTCACTCACTGCGGCCACCCCTCGAAGGTGGACACGGTGAAGAGGGACATCATGGCCGACAGCACGTTGTCGAAGTGGAAGTCGTTGTGCACCCACTCGCGGGGGTACAGCTGCATCTGCGTGGGGTCCTCATCCTTGTACACGTAGTAATAGCCCCTGACA